AGGTGACTAAAGAGAAATACCCTGTTCTAGGCTGAGGGAACTGAAAGGAGATTGGAGGGGCTGCAGCAGGATGAACTACACAGGGAGAGTGGTACATGGTGAAGTGGAAGAGGTAGATGAGGGCTGATTATTCAGGGTCTTGTAGCAAAGAATTAGATTTTATTCCAAATGCAATGGGGAATTATTAAAGAGTTTTAAACAACCCTATCTATGCTTTTAAAAATCACTGCTGATTGAAAAATGGGAGCACCGAGAGCAGAAAAAAAGCAGGATCACTTAGGTTTCACTCCTCAGTGAGGTTAGCTATGGAGCGAATAAAACAATAAAGGAGGACCTTGGACTGAGTCTATAGACTTTGATGTTTAGCAGCTAGGTAGAAAAGGAGGAGCCAGTAAAGGGAAAAAAACAATAGATTACAGCTAAGAGATGAAAGTGTTTAGAAGAGGAGAGAACAGTCAATTTCTGAAAGGTTACTGAAAGCTCAGGTAAAATGAGGATAGAAAAAAAAATCATCATTATATATGGTTGAATAGAAGCCAGTGGTAATTCTGGCAACAGCAGTTTTGGTGGTGTGGTGGGAGAAGAATCTAGACTGGAGTGGACTGAAGAGTGGCAAGTAAACAAAGAATGGTCCACGTCACTTGTACTGACAGCATTGAGAAACATGAGGTGAGGCAGGTGAAAGGATGCTAAGGGACAATGAGGAGGTTTTGTAAGATGGGTGGTGTACAGACAGGTTCATATGCTCCTAGGAATAAACCAGGAGAGAGTGAGAGATGAGGAACCAGAAAAGAGAACAATAGAAATTAAGTCCTTGAGAAGAAAGCAGAGTATGGGACTAGGAGCACAAGTGGAGGTAAATTACCCTTCATGTAAGGATCACCATCTCCATTATATAGGAGGGGAACAGGAACCCATGGATGGAGACACGAAAACTGTAGATTTGGTGGTAGGAAGGTCAAGTTTACAATTACTCTATTTCTTAATTAAGAAATGAAACACAAGATGAGATAGATCATCTACAGAAAGGTGACAGAGGGTAGAAGTAGGAGAGATTTGGGGTGTTAAGAACTAGTCTAAACATAATGACTGTTATTACTGTACTGGTCTTATATATCTGCCAAAGTAGCAAGTGAAACTTCAAAGTATATTCTTTGTATATACTTCAAAGTATATATTCTTCAAAGTAGCATTGAAGAATCCTCTGCCCAGCCAACACACTCAAGTAAAGTTCACTACCTACATTTTATGTTTCATTTCTGTAGTAGATATTCAGTGGAAGAGTTATTCTTTATTTCTTAACTAAATAGAAGTATTTTTACTTATCTAATAGCATATTCTTTTATATTTTTCAATTATAATTGACATTTAATATTATTTTATATTAGTTTCAAGTGTACAGCATAGTGGTTAGATAATTGTATAATTTAAAAAGGGATTCCCCCTCATAAGACTAGTACCCACCGGGCACAATACCTAGTTATTACAATATTATTGACTATATTCCCTATGCTACACTTTACATCCGCATAACTATTTTGTAACTACCAATTTGTACTTCTTAATACCTTCATCTTTTTTACTCAGTCCCCCAACCCCCTCCCATGTGGCAACCCCCAGTTTGTTTTCTGTATTTGTAAGTTTTTTTTTCTGTTTTCTTTGTTCATTAATTTTGTTCTTTAGATTTCACATATAAATAAAATCATATGGTATTTGCTTTCTCTGCTTGACTTATTTCACTTAGCATAATACCCTCTAGGTCTATTCATGTTGTTGCAAATGTTAAGATTTCATTCCTTTTTTTATGGTGGAGTAATATTCCATTGTATATATGTACCACTTCTTTATCTGTCCGAAAGTTATTCTTAGAACTTGATAAAGAAGTTGCCTTTAAAAATGTGATACTAACTGTAAGCTAGAATGTTCAGAGAAGTCCTCCAGGTGGAGAGGCCAGAGAACTGAGCTACCTGACCTCGAATTGGTGGGCTGATCACCATCTGTCAAGGATCTTGCAAGAATGGCCTTGTATTGGTTGAAGAATGGACAAAATGACCTTTCATGCCATGTGCCTGTATCCCAGTGAGTCTGTGAGGCTGGGCTAGTTACAGAAGGCATTATGAAGGAGGTGGCCTTGAAGGGCAGACATGACTTGGGATGCTGTGGGATGTTAATGTGCATTTCTGCTTTCCATATAAAATCTCCCAAAGATCCCTTTGCCCCTTCTTCTCTGGCCATTCTCTGAGTAAGGTAACAACTTCCTAACCATAATCTGATGCGGACTCCAGCCTGTGGGGTCCAAGTGTTGTGGCTGTGACAAACAAATTCACATGGACTACAGAAGTCCTGCTGAGAAAAAGGGATGGCATGGCTGCTCTCTAAGTGAGAGAGAGGGCCCCGGCCCCTGTCTGGACGGGCTTCTATTGCCTTTCTGGGTACATTACATGAAGAATGATCCTCATTTACTATGCACAGGCTTACTTTAGGTGGTTATCTTTTACAGATAACAGAGGAAAGAATGTTGCTAATTACTTTAAAGAGAAGGATGTTTCAGATCAAGGGGAAAAGTGGTTGAACTGGTTACACTCCATACTTGGGAGGTTTAGCACAGACTATAGGAAGTTACTTTAAAGATATGCAGTAAACATTTGCCACCTCAATCCAGGATGAGGAAGTTTTATCAAAAACAAGCCTCATAGCAGCCTAGGTACAATGTAAGCCTGATTCCCACGGGAAAGCTGATCCGTAGGTTTGGTTTCCTGTGTGCTGGCTCACGCCTGTCGGTTTTCCGGTAGGGCTTGTGGGCTGGGCTACGTTCGCCATGCCAAGCGATTGATTCCCTATAATAATCTGTCAAAGAAAGGTTCAGATTTGACTCTACCTTTATTTCCTGAATGACTTTACTGCTAGAAACTCAACAGAGCTAAGGAGGGAATTGGGCCAAATCTAGACTGCTTAAGCTTTTTGTAAAGAAGATTTCTCTCACTGTCATAGTGGTGTGGGGGCAAATTATAGTAGCTGGAAACCAAGTAAGAGTGGCGGTGGGTTTTGTTTCTGTGTGTGTACTTGAGAAATGTAATTGGAGGTGCCTGACTCTCTGCCATGGGAGAGAGATATAGCCAAAGGGAGAGAGCCACCCTGAGGTTACAGGAGGCTCTGTTCTATCCCTGCCCATCTCCACCCTACTCTGCCAATTTAACTCTCCAGTTTTTGCTTCAGTTCTGCCTTCGTAGGTTGCACAGTTTGTTGCAAGCCACCTCAGCTGACCATTGTCTCCATTAACACCAATGCAGAAGGCTCTGCAAAAGGATCAGGGCATAAATGGGGACTGATAATGAAATGTTAATAAAGTGCCTCTTATAACATAGTATTCTTCCATTACACTGAACTGTTTCCACACATGTCCATAATTTGAGTTACAGCACTAGCATTTATTGTACGTATATTGTCTCTTGTGAATCTCTTTTGCCCTGTGAGGTGTGAACATGTGTATGGTGTTCTCCCCTGAGGTGGAAAGCTGACTGACAGTGTGTTTTGCCTTTTCCCTCTCTTCAGAACCTAAAACAGGTCTGTCGTGGGGGTAGTGGATGACCGATAGTGAAATGACACTGCTATTTCTGCTTGCCATTCCATCCTCTTCATTTCCCTAGAAATATACTGTGTGATCCTTTTCTTTGGGTGTCTGATCTCAAGTGTCTGTTTTAGTGAGTAGAGGCAGCAGCTAGCCCTTCAGTAGGGGAACAGGGGGTACAAATGGCCCATATATCACCTGGTGGCTGTAGGCTGTAAGCAGCCCTACATCTTCAGCCAGAGTCACCTCACCCTCCTAAATGTGGGTATAGACATTTCCTTTCTTGGCCTTTATACTTTACCCCCATTTGTGCCTTTCCTCACAGCCCATGGTAGCTGCTGACAGAATGTTAGTGTCCCCACAGAAGATTCGGAGAAGGCATACTTGAAATAAAACACGTTTTCAAGATAGTTGGCCAGTGGAACTGTATGACTCTCTAAGACGATTGGTTGGAATATGAAAGTTATTTTTTAAACTGAGTTTTCCTACTTGTTAAAAGGCAGAGAGAATAAACTACACTCTCTTTAAAAAGAAAAACAGTTAACATTTGAACATTAAACAGTTCCTGAAGCAATGATTATTAGCATTTGGGGGTCAGGTACCCTTCTTAGAATCTGTTGAAATCTGCCAATCTCTCCCCAGAAAAGTGTTCATTTCCATGGAGTTTTATGAACCATGTTAGAATGTTTGTGGACCTGCTGAAATCCTGAAAGAAAAGGCACAGGGGAAAAGCTGACTGAGAGGAATCACAGTAAGGGCGGGTTGGGATGGAGGCCCAGTAATACCTAAAGTAAGAAAACACCCAAGTTCCTGGCATGAGATGGTTTGCTATTTAAATGCTCCTCAGATGGCAGTTAGAGCCTGGGGGAAAGGCCAGTTTGTGGACACTTCATTGTGAGTAAGAAAGCAGCCAAAGAATGTAACTTGACCGCCCTGGCTGATGTGCCTCAGGTCAGTGCACATGCCTGGGTTGTGGGCCTGGTTCCCCCGTAGGGAGTACGTGAGAGGCAACCAGTGAATGTTTCTCTCCCTCCCTCCCCTCTCTCTAAACATAAATAAATAAAATCTTTTTAAAAGTGTACCTTGGCAGCCCAGAGAGTAAAGAAAAACAGGAGAAAATTAGAGTTTATCTATTTTTGCTTTGCTGCTATATATTCTATACATACTAATCTTTTGCTAGTGTTGCACAAAATATTTGTATTTCTTTTATTTTTTTTCACTTTTTATTGAATTTAGGGGGTGGCATTTGTTAATAAAAGCACATAAATTTCAGGTGTACAATTCTACAATACATCATCTGTATATTGTATGTTCACTGTCCGTAGTAAAGTCTCCTTCCATTGCCATTTATCTCCCCATATCCTATTCTACCTACTCCTTCTTTCCCTCTGGTAATAAGTGTACTGTTGTCTGTGCTGGTGAGTTTTTTTTTAAAAATATGGAATGCTTCATGAGTTTGTGTGTTACCCTTGAGCAGGGGCCATGCTAATAATCTTCTCTGTATCATTTCCAATTTTAGTATTTGTGCTGCCAAAGCAAGTACAAAATATTTGTATTTCTTAAAAGCCTCTGAGGGGTTGTTAACCTAAATACTATTTACCTGAAGGACCCAACATGCTTTAACCAAAAGCAGTAAATAAGCCAAAAATGGACAGGTGGGGAAGAAAAAAATTCTCACAATTCATCCTAAAAGTTAGAGTTCATGGCTGAGATAACCCTATTACAAATTCCAAGGATTGTGTCCCTCCATATCAAAGAAATCTTGTCTTGGTCTCGACACCCCCAGTCCCTGCTCAGTATTCTTTTCACTGGCTGAATGAAGACAGGAAATGGAAATAGAGATGACACACTCTTATATGAGAATACCTGGGATGTCTCTTCAATACCATGCAGTTAATCCCGGGAGTATAGGGAAAAATAAATAGTTCCGCTCCTGTGCTATTTTATTCTTGAGACAAGTCACCTTTGGAGCAGTGGAGTAGTTCTTTCCTTTGCCTCATGTAGTTGCTTATGACCAAGAGAATATAATGTTACAGAACTTTTCTCTGTCAAGCCGTTCCTGAGCTGTGGGTTATCTGGTATCGTAAAAGATGAAGGCTGCCACCAAATCTTTTCTGTGCACAACACTGCTAAGTTTTCTTACCCAGGGAGATTCTATAATGTAAAATTAAGCTGGTACCATGACCTGAACTTTCCCACATGCAGGATTTGTAAGGCTTCTCTCCTGTGTATCACAAAATTTCTGCTGAGGCAGGAAACCTTCTCACATCCATCGCTCTGTAGGGTCTCTCCCTAGATGGATTCTCTGAGGTACAATGAGGCTTGAGCTTTATCTGACGCTTTCCCCACACTCACCACAAAGACAGAGGTTTTTTCCCTCAGCCTGGCCACCCAGTGATGGGGCCGCTGAGCTGTGTCTGAAGCTTTTGTCACTGACTGCATTTTGCAGTTTTGTTTCAAACTGGATTCTCTGATGCACATAAAGGGTACACATAAAGTTTTCTCACTGTCGAGGCAATGATACGGCCGGGTGCGGGGCATGGTGAGGCATGAGGCAGAGCTACCGCTATTTTTGCATTCACTGCACCTTCAGGGCCTCTCCTGAGTGTGGACTCCCAGCTCTGCTCTGGCAGAAACTTTTCCCACATTCCTCACATGATGGGCTTCGCTCTGTGTCAGAGCTCTGTCTGCCACAGCTGTACACATCCTCCCCTGTGTAGTTTGTGAAGACAGCAAAGATGGTGCTTTCACCAAAAAGCTTGATTCTGGGGTTCTTGTTCCAGGTGTCTCTGTGAGCATCTCCACATCGCTCGCTCTCTTGCCCAAGATTTCACAGCCTTGCCCACCATCATGGTCAGCTTATTGTTTGGTTTTCCTAGTAATGTCCTGGAAGTTTCACTTTTCTGTTTGTCTGGAAGCCTTCTTCACTTTGCAATCGAAATGACAACATAAGAGAAGGTGTTAGTCTTGGAATGAGAATTGGAAAGGGGGGAAGTAGCTGGAACAATTACAGTGGACTAAGTTAAAGTATAAGTTCCTCTAAATAAGGGAATTTACAGAGTTCAAAGTTAAAGAGAGCAGGAGCAGGAGGGAAGCTTAGGGGACTGTGCAAACACCCCCTGAACAAGGTCTTTTCATAGGCCACATTCATACTGATGGTCCTGAATGTTCATTTTACTGTCTGTTTTGTATTCATGTCTTCTGTGAAGATTTATTTGGTTAATTCCACCTCACTCTGCTCTATAGTTCCTCGTTTAATTGGAATTACTCATTTGTAACTGTCTTTCTTTTTTCTTTCTCTTTCTTTCCTTTCTTTCTTTCTTTCTTTCTTTCTTTCTTTCTTTCTTTCTTTCTTTCTTTCTTTCTTTCTTTCTTTCTTTCTTTCTCTTTCATTCTCAGACATGTATAGTACTTACTATATAGCATGAACTCTTCCAGGTGCATTGTATATATATTCCCATTTTATAGAGGAGAAAACTGGGCCACAAAGAGGGTGTCTTGCTCAAGAACAGGCTAATTGTGCTAGAACCAGGGTTCCATCCCAGGCAGAATGGCTTCTGTGTCTGTGTTCTTCAAGCTTCCTGTGTGTGCACTTAATCTCTCAAGCTTAGAGAGCAACACTTGAAGACCAAACATCCTGCCTCTGATTCTTTTGAGTGCATCACACAGTCCCAATTTATATTGGCAGAAACCCCAGGAAAAAAAGCTGTATTTATGTGCTTAACAGGAAGGGTACAGAATCTGCCAAATTGGCTGAAGAATATACATATGTTCTCCTGTTGGCTGAAATTGAAAACTCAGAAGTAAAGGAACAAATTTGGCTTTGGCAACCCAGCCTGGGACTCTTGCTAACTCCCCATTCCCCTGTCAGGAGGGAGAGAGACTGATAAACCCTCTCTTTTTTATACTGAGAATTATCATAAAGCTATCCATGGGAAGACCTGGCACTGTGTACTGGCTACAGTGTCCTTTGTTCTGCTACATATCTGAGATCTTCAAACCCCCCCTCCCTTTTCTAACTACTCCCCACCCACTCTTCCACTGCTTTTCTCACTCCTTAAAGACCCCTACCTTATCTTTTACCTTCCTACTAATTTTTATGTGTTTACTTATTTATGCCAATTTCTCTGTACATCTTTATAATGTACATCTGTGTGTGGGAGATACTTGCATACTTGGGGGATGTGGACATAAAATATGACTATAAGTCTATTTATTATTTATTTGTCAAGTTATTTATTTATAACTGTACTTTATTTATTCCATGCAGAAAAGAGTGGCTAGGAAAAAAACTGGACTTATGATAAGTATAGTTGTATATGTTTGATCTTCAACTATTTATTTTTATTTTAATGGTAAAACCAAGAGTAGTAATAAACCCAACTGATTTTTCATTTATGTACTAAGCAATATTTTCTTCAATAAAATCGCAACATGGGCAGAAAGCTAGAGAAAATCCATGGAGTAGAAGATTGTTGTAATGTGATTTGACACGTATCATGCTGTATTCCCTGGGCTTTATTATGCTGTAATTTCCAGGTGCTTTCTCGCCATGCAGCATAAACTTTTGCATCAGGTAGACTGTGGTCTGAATCCTATCTCTGTCTTTCGGTAAATGTGACAATTATTCAGCTATTGAGTTTTCTGAGCATTTTCCCCATCTGTAAAGGTAGAAGAATAACACTATCCTGCAGTATTACAGCACTAACAAACAAACAAGCACTTAATGTAGAGCCAGACACACAGACACAGATAGAAGGTGCTCAATAAATGTAACTTTAGGATGGAGTGAAATGTAACTATTCATTCCACCTACCTCTTTCCCAGGGTTGCCTTCTTCAGCTTCTGGTTTGGTTCCCAGATGGAAACAGTGGTACCAGTTATTCCTCTGTATCTGCCATCCTCCTCCGCTGATTGCCGAGTGAATCCTGAGGAGTGGGGAATCAATGCTGAGATTGTTAGCCTGGGGACAGAGCTATGTGCCCCAGAAGGAAACATGTTAGCGAAATGTGCTCTAGTTGATTGTCTCTTCAACCTCCCTCTCAGACCCAGAGGGTCATGACAAACCAGGAGGTACAGAAACTCCCGGGCTATGGCCTAGGCGAGCCGGAAATCTCACCTAGTGAGAACAATTGTTTTGGTGCTCATTGGCAATAGTTATCTTATAATTCAGACTCTCATTTTCAAAAAGTAACAACAAAGCGAACAGGAACTGGGAACCGGAGTTGGGTAGGGAAAAGACTGTCAACATTGTCATCAGATTTTATCATTCTCACTTTCTTTCCCTCATTGTTATAGTCTACTGGCCCCTACATCATTTTCTTTTATTTCTCTTTGATTTTAGTTCCTGGATCACCATTGCTCTTTAAAACTATCTCTGCCTTAGTTCTTGGTGATTTCTATATAAACATAAATGGTTCTTCTAACCAGGGACTTCTGAGACACTGGTGTCTCTAATCCTCTTCTCCAGTGATCTTGTCTTCCATTCTACCACAGTTACATGGCCCTGTAGTCATGCTTCAGAGCTTGTTATGACCTGAAATTCAACTTCATGCATCCCACCCTGTGACCACTATCTTTCCAGCTTCCTTTCTCTAGTGTATAGACTCCAATGACCTTTCAATATTGTTAGTACCTCTAACTCATTGATGTTGTCATGTTTGCTGTCCTTCACTCATTGATGTCCTCTCCCTCCTCCTTCCCCAACATAAAGTTCGTGGCCAATCATTATGATCATTCAACTCTCCTGTCCCTCTTTGCTTTGGCATACTCACTTGACAAAAACCAGTCATGATTAAATTCAACCTCTGTCTTCCCAGTACTTGCACTGTAGTCATTGCAAGTGACTGAAGAAGGATATGTGTTCTTGCCAGCTCATCTTTTTCTAAACTCATGGCCATAAAACTCAAGTGAGATTATGGGTACTTCCACTTCTGGGAAGTAGAGTACTTTCCCTTATTCCTCCCACTAAATACCACTAATCCCTCTGGACACTATGTGTAAAACAGATATAAGAAGACTGAAGGGTGGGATGAAAACTGTCTTTAGGCCTTGGAATCCAAGGGGTGACATAGCAGTGAGTTCCCTGGGATATTTCCCACCTCATATGTACCAGACTGGGTGGTGGAGAACCAGGAAATCTAGAAAAACCAAAGCCACGAGAATATCTTTCAGAAAAGGACAACCTAGCAAGACAGAAAAATTTTTATTTAAAATTTTTTATTGATTGATTTGAGAGAGATTGACTTGTTTTTCCACTTATTTATGCATTCATTGGTTGCTTCTTGTATGTGCCCTGACCAGGGATTGAACCCACAACCTTGGCATATTGGAATGATGCTCCAACCAACTGAGCTGCCTGCTCAGGAAAAGACAGAAAACTTTTAGACAACAACCACTCTACTCCAGCTCAACACCACAGAAAAAACTATGGCCCCATTTTTATTCCCATCAGCAAAGGGTAAGTGGGCTCACTTGGCTGGTATCAGTGGAAACTCTGCAGGTAACCTGCACTTCCACCTTCACCCAGCGGTAACAAGGCTC